TCCTGTGAGTGGACACACCGCCATAGGTGGACCACACCGCCATAGTGACAGTATTGGGCAGCGCCACTCATCCTGTGAGTGGACACACCGCCATAGTGACAGTATTGGGCAGCGCCACTCATCCTGTGAGTGGACACCCCGCCATAGCAGCATGTACAACACTCCCTGGATATACTCTGAGTATACTGACCGCCAGAACACGCGATATACCAGACCTGGGCCCGAGATTAACTATGCCAATGCATTAGGTTTGTCTTGTAGTTGTAACTTGAGCTTGTAAAAGCTGATTAATCACCTTGTGAGGTTCGTGTGCTCTGTAACTCACTGTGCCTTGGGGGCGCTATTGGCATGTCCGCGCCGGGCAGGTCACTTAACACGGCTCCGTTACTTAACAACGGCTCCGTCACTTAACACGGCTCAGTCACTTAACACGGCTCAGTCACTTAACACGGCTCAGTCACTTAACACAGCTCCGACACTTAACACAGCTCCGTCACTTAACACGGCTCCGTCACTTAACACGGTTCCGTTACTTGACACAGCTCCGTTACTTAACACAGCTCCGTCACTTAACAAAGCTCCGACACTTAACAAAGCTCCGACACTTAACACAGCTCCGACACTTAACACAGCTCCGACACTTAACACAACTCCGTCACTTAACACAGCTCCGACACTTAACACAGCTCCGACACTTAACACAGCTCCGACACTTAACACAGCTCCGACACTTAACACAGCTCCGTTACTTAACACGGCTCCGTTACTTAACACGGCTCCGTCACTTAACACAGCTCCGTCACTTAACACAGCCCCGACACTTAACACAGCTCCGACACTTAACAAAGCTCCGTCACTTAACAAAGCTCCGACACTTAACAAAGCTCCGACACTTAACAAAGCTCCGACACTTAACAAAGCTCCGACACTTAACAAAGCTCCGTCACTTAACAAAGCTCCGACACTTAACAAAGCTCCGACACTTAACAAAGCTCCGACACTTAACAAAGCTCCGACACTTAACAAAGCTCCGTCACTTAACAAAGCTCCGACACTTAACAAAGCTCCGTCACTTAACACAGCTCCGTCACTTAACACAGCCCCGACACCTTAACACAGCTCCGACACTTAACAAAGCTCCGACACTTAACAAAGCTCCGTCACTTAACAAAGCTCCGACACTTAACAAAGCCCCGACACTTAACAAAGCTCCGACACTTAACAAAGCTCCGACACTTAACAAAGCTCCGACACTTAACAAAGCTCCGACACTTAACAAAGCTCCGACACTTAACAAAGCTCCGACACTTAACAAAGCTCCGACACTTAACAAAGCTCCGACACTTAACAAAGCTCCGACACTTAACAAAGCTCCGACACTTAACCAATATGTAAAATAAATCTTAAGATGCTTTTAAAATAATAGAGTTTCAAAGTAATTAAATTTTAATTAACCAGTAATTAAAACACGTCATGAATTTGATCGGTTAATTATCCTTGTTCATCCGGCCACAGGTGGTGGAGTGTGGTGGTACCACAGGTGGTGGACCGTGGTAGTACCACAGGTGGTGGAGTGTGGTAGTACCACAGGTGGTGGGAGTGTGGTAGTACCACAGGTGGTGGAGTGTGGTGGTACCACAGGTGGTGGAGTGTGGTGGTACCACAGGTGGTGGAGTGTGGTGGTACCACAGTGTGGTGGAGTGTGGTGGTACCACAGGTGGTGGAGTGTGGTGGTACCACAGGTGGTGGAGTGTGGTAGTACCACAGGTGGTGGACCATGGTAGTACCATGGGAGTTGGTTATACCACGTCCGGGAACTTGGTTATATAATACCATCCTCTCACTTCATCAACGGGGTGTGTTTTATGCGTATAGTGTATAATAATATTATATACTAAGTCTTTGTTTACTAAGTGTTATGAGAGAGAGAGAGAGAGAGAGAGAGAGAGAGAGAGAGAGAGAGGAGAGGAGAGAGAGAGAGACAGACGACAGAGACAGAGAGAGAGAGAGTGCGTGTGTGAGTGCGTGAGTGCGTGAGGGGCGTCTCCTGCACAATCACTGGGTCGTACAATGCTAGTAAACGACTTTCCGGCAGTTATGTGTACCTGCCCAAGGGGCAATTATCCATGCCCCCCCACCATCCCCCCCCCCACCCCCCTAATGATACAACTTAGTGAAGGACATGATGATTATTGCGTTAGTCTTAGCTCCCCCCCCCCCCAGACACAGGTAAACCACCCTAAACTACACCATTACCACCACCCAAACGAACCAGAATTTGGGCAAGAAAGGGACAGGTTAATTAGGTTCGATACGGGTCGTTCGCTAGCGATGGACGGGGCCCGGGGGGGGAGGGGGTTATCCGCGCGGCTTTGGTGGATAAGCTAGACCTTATTCCGTCTAGCCGTCATATCTTATCTAGCTTCATCCCGTAGATCGTGCTTCTCTCTCTGTCTCTCTCTCTCTGTCTGTCTGTCTCTCTCTCTCTGTCTCTCTCTCTCTCTCTCTCTCTCTCTCTCTCTCTCTCTCTCTCTCTCTCTCTCTCTCTCTCTCTCTCTCTCTCTCTCTCTCTCTCTCTCTCTCTCTCTCTCTCTCTCTCTCTCTCTCAAGTTATTACTAATTGTGTCCTCCAACCATTATGGGAACACAATAGATAGAGATTAATAACAAAGAGATTAATGAAACATATATTCAGAATCAACTTTTCCTTCGATTTAGCATAACATTAATAACAGATAAGTCTACCTGGGCTCTCAGAAAGCAACGGCAAGAAAGTAGCGTACTAACGTGCCCTTTATCCTAACCTTCCAGAGGACCTAAAACAGAAAATGGAATAGTATCTCCAGAATGGAACTGCTAGCTCTTGGAGCCAAGCCTTTCTAAGCAATTTATTTCTCCTCTATTATGTCTACTACACATATTTCTCTCTAACACACACACACACACACACACACACACACACACACACACACACACACACACACACACACACACACACACACACACACTCGTACAAGTGTGTTTATATATGTAGGTGTGTGTAGAGGTATGTATGTATATATGTAAGACACACACACATTCGTATACATATGTAAGTGTGTGTGTGTGTATATAGCGTTTGTCTAACACTAATTGTTCTTCCATGTTCTGCCACAGAGAAAGACTAATTGTTCTCCCTTGTTCTGCCACAGAGAAAGACTAATTGTTCTCCCTTGTTCTGCCACAGAGAAAGACTAATTGTTCTCCCTTGTCCTGCCACAGAGAAAGACTAACTGTTCTCCCATGTTCTGCCACAGAGAAAGACTAATTGTTCTCCCTTGTTCTGCCACAGAGAAAGACTAATTGTTCTCCCTTGTCCTGCCACAGAGAAAGACTAATTGTTCTCCCTTGTTCTGCCACAGAGAAAGACTAATTGTTCTCCCTTGTTCTGCCACAGAGAAAGACTAATTGTTCTCCCTTGTCCTGCCACAGAGAAAGACTAATTGTTCTCCCTTGTTCTGCCACAGAGACCTGAGTCACAACAAGCTGTCTGTGGTGGGGAGGAGGACCTTCCGTGGCGCCCCAAACATCAACAACCTGTAAGTTGTGTTGTAGAGGTTGTGGTAGTTGTGGTTGTGCTAGCGGGCAAGGGGGGCCTACAGTTGTGGTTGTGCTAGGGGCAGGGGGCCTACAGTAGTGGTTGTGCTAGGGGCAGGGACCTATAGTTGTGGTTGTGCTAGGGGCAGGGACCTACAGTTGTGGTTGTGCTAGGGGCAGGGACCTACAGTTGTGGTTGTGCTAGGGGCAGGGACCTACAGTTGTGGTTGTGCTAGGGGCAGGGGCCTACAGTAGTGGTTGTGCTAGGGGCAGGGACCTACAGTATTGCTTGTGCTAGGGGCAGGGGGCCTACAGTATTGCTTGTGCTAGGGGCAGGGGCCTACAGTTGTGGTTGTGCTAGGGGCAGGGACCTACAGTATTGCTTGTGCTAGGGGCAGGGGCCTACAGTTGTGGTTGTGCTAGGGGCAGGGACCTACAGTATTGCTTGTGCTGGGGGCAGGGGCCTACAGTTGTGGTTGTGCTAGGGGCAGGGACCTACAGTATTGCTTGTGCTAGGGGCAGGGGCCTACAGTTGTGGTTGTGCTAGGGGCAGGGACCTACAGTTGTGGTTGTGCTAGGGGCAGGGGCCTACAGTTGTGGTTGTGCTAGGGGCAGGGACCTACAGTTGTGGTTGTGCTAGGGGCAGGGACCTACAGTATTGCTTGTGCTAGGGGCAGGGGCCTACAGTTGTGGTTGTGCTAGGGGCAGGGACCTACAGTTGTGGTTGTGCTAGGGGCAGGGACCTACAGTATTGCTTGTGCTAGGGGCAGGGACCTACAGTATTGCTTGTGCTAGGGGCAGGGACCTACAGTATTGCTTGTGCTAGGGGCAGGGACCTACAGTATTGCTTGTGCTAGGGGCAGGGACCTACAGTATTGCTTGTGCTAGGGGCAGGGACCTACAGTAGTGCTTGTGCTAGGGGCAGGGACCTACAGTATTGCTTGTGCTAGGGGCAGGGACCTACAATAGTACTTGTGCTAGGGGCAGAGGGCTACAGTTATTGAAAGCTGAAGAGAACCAGTACCACCTGGATGGTCTATGAGTCTCATTACTTTGTGTAACATATCTTTATTTTTATTATAATGTGAGATAGCAGCTTCTTATGCATCTCTCTCTCGCTCTCTCTCGCTCTCTCTCGCTCTCTCTCGCTCTCTCTCGCTCTCTGTCTCTCTCTCTCTCTCTCTCTCTCTCTCTCTCTCTCTCTCTCTCTCTCTCTCTCTCTCTCTCTCTCTGTCTCTCTCTGTCTCTCTCTGTCTCTCTCTCTCTCTCTCTCTCTCGCTCTCTCTCGCTCTCTCTCTCAACTAATTTTTTTTATTTTTGCTTGTATGTTAATTAGAAATATGTTCTTGTTGATTGTTGTTAACAATCCCTCGCCACTCAAACAATCCCAGCTCTCTAACTACCAATTTACTCTCCCCTAACAGGCAGTTGGACAACAATCAGCTGACATGTATCGATGATTCTGCCATTAAGAACCTCAATGACCTTCAAGTCTTGTAAGTATATGGCTTTAACGTGTTCTGAACACGTCTGTAACGTGTCCTCAACACGTCAATAAGTGTCCTGAACACGTCTGTAACGTGTCCTGAACACGTCTGTAACGTGTCCTGAACACGTCAATAACGTGTCCTCAACACGTCTGTAACGTGTCCTGAACACGTCAATAACGTGTCCTGAACACGTCAATAACGTGTCCTCAACACGTCTGTAACGTGTCCTGAACACGTCAATAATGTGTCCTGAAAGTTTGCTATGTCTTTGCACTCTCCTGTCAAGAAAGTGCAAGTGTTTCCTGTCAAGTGTTTCCTGTCAAGAAGCAAGAGGTTGCTTATTTCTGCCTTGTTAAGGAGTTTACTCCTGCAATGGAAACCCGTTAACGGTCCTGTCTCAGTTTACCTCGGGTCGTTAGGTGATATTATACTTGCTGGATTTGAGAGTTTACTGACCTGCCAGGTACTGGGTTTACTGTCACACGACATACGGGATAAGACACTGGGTTTACAGCTCCTCAAGACACTGGGTTTACAGCTCCTCAAGACACCGGGTTTACAGCTCCTCAAGACACATGGTTTACAGCTCCCAAGACACTGGGTTTACAGCTTCCCAAGACACTGGGTTTACAGCTCACCAAGACACTGGGTTTACAGCTCACTAAGACACTGAGTTTACAGCCAAGACAGTGGGTTTACACCTCTTCAAGACACTGGGGTTTACACCGCTTCAAGACACTGGGTTTACAGCTCCCCAAGACAATTGGTTTACAGTGCCCCAAAACACTGTGTTTGCAGCTCATCAAGACACTGGGTTTACAGCTCCTCAAGACACTGGGTTTACAGCTCCTCAAAACACTGGGTTTACAGCTCCTCAAGACACTGGGTTTACACTTCTTCAAGACACTGGGTTTACAGCTCCTCAAAACACTGGGTTTACAGCTCCTCAAGACACTGGGTTTACACTTCTTCAAGACACTGGGTTTACAGCTCCCCAAGACACTGGGTTTACAGCTCTTCAAGACACTGGGTTTACATCTCCTCAAATCACTGGGTTTACAGCTCACTAAGACACTGGGTTTACAGCTCTTCAAGACACTGGGTTTACAGCTCCTCAAGACACATGGTTTACAGCTCTTCAAGACACTGGTTTACATCTCTTCAAGACACTGGGTTTACAGCTCACCAAGACACTGGGTTTACAGCTCACTAAGACACTGGGTTTACAGCCAAGACACTGGGTTTACAGCTCTTCAAGACACTGGGTTTACAGCTCCTCAAGACACATTGTTTACAGCTCCTCAAGACACATGGTTTATAGCTCATAAATACACTGGATTTACAGCTCAAGACACTGGGTTTACAGCTCAAGACACTGAGTTACAGCTCAAGACACTGGTTTACATCTCCTCAAGACACTGGGTTTACAGCTCCTCAAGACACTGGGTTTACAGCTCCTCAAGACACCGGGTTTACACCTCTTCAAGACACTGGGTTTACTAACCTGCTAGACCAAATATCGTCAACCAACCCACACATCTGAAAATAAATATTGGTTGATTGGTTGATTGGTTAATTATCAACCAGGTTATTGTGATTAGCAGTCTGCACATATGTCTCCACTGCACGAAAGATGTAACGACTCATTGGACTAAAAAAAAAAAAGATTGACCAGTCGCTCTAACGTCTCACATTATCAAGGTTTTTGAGAGAGTGATTAGGAGTCCAATCACCAGTTGCATGGAGTACAATGGCCTTTAACGGGAAGGTCCTGCCTTTTTTCTAATTACTCAACCATTTGGACAAAATTATCGAAGATTTTTTTGTAATTACTCAACCATTAGGACAAAATTACCTTAGATATTTTGTAGTTACTCAACCATTAGGACAAAATTACCGAAGATTTTTTTGTAATTACTCAACCATTAGGACAAAATTACCGAAGATTTTTTGTAATTACTCAACCATTAGGACAAAATTACCGAAGATATTTTGTAATTACTCAACCATTAGGACAAAATTACCTAACCATTACAAGCTAAAACGAATTGTATCTCGTGTGATTTACTCAGACTTTGCGAAGGCATTTGATTAATGCGACCATGGAGCGATAGCGCGTGAAATGAGATTAATAGGGAATGGAAGGTCAAACAGGGTGATAGATATTCAATTTCCTGTCCACAACAGACTGGTAAACCAGCCTCCAGTATAGGAAGAATGTGGATACCACTATCTTCCCCAAACTTGCATCTGTCTGGTATTTATTTTGATTTTAAACTGCTCTTCGAGAATTGCTTCCCTCACCCCCCCCTCCCTTACCCCTTTTTTCCACTTCCCAAAAACTACCCAAAAACCACAAAAAAATTGGGTTTACCTTGGTGGAGAAGCCGCCAAGTTGCGGGTATATTGTTTAACTTTGCAGAGGTTAAGTTAGTCCTTCATACGTGACCGGGGCTGTGGCTGGGGATCGCTCGCGCGTCCACACCTTGAAACAAAACTCAAAATTTTGTTCGGATCCAATGGAAAGTGGTTACATAAAAAGAGAGAGAACACCGTGTATTATCAAATCAAATAAGAGGACATTTGGATACAAATAATTTGTACGTAAAAAACAAAATATATATATATATATATATATATATATATATATATATATATATATATATATATATAAACACACATATGGGACTGAACCCTGCAAGAGACTCGAACCCTGTTAGCAACCCCAATGTCGGCAACTGGCACGCGTCTCACACCACACGCCATCCGAATTGCTGCGGCCCTCCGCCTTGCTGCCCCAATCCACACCAGATATAGGTGTATTTGCGGCGAGGTGGTGGCCGACAAGTACGACCACCATGGCCTACTCTGCCAAAGCACAGGGGGATGGCACTCGAGGCACAGTGAAGTTAACGACATCATCAAGAGGAGCCTCACCACAGCTGGATGCCCAGCCGAGCGAGAGCCCCGTAACTCTGATGCTCTTATTGGTCGCCCGGATGGTATCACAGTGAACCCCTGGAAGAATGTCAGGCAGTTGGTATGGGACTACACGTGTGTAACAACCCTGGCTAACACCTACATTGACATCAGTGTTGCACAACCAGGTGGCGCTGCCACTCACAGGGAACAAGATAAGTCCCGTAAGTACAGAGAACTGGATCACCACTACAATTTTGTCCCCATTGCTTCTGAGACACTCGGCACCTGGGGTAAGAGTGCTACCAGTTTTTTGAAGGAACTGGGTTCTAGACTAATTGAAACAACAAGAGACCCTAGAGCTGCCAGCTTCCTATTCCAGCGCCTCAGCGTGGCGATACAGAGGGGAAATGCTCACTGCATTCAGAGTTCCTGCCCGCCATCAGAGGAGCTGGAGGAACCAATATATAACTCCTTTTTTGTAACAAAGTTTAAATAAAACAAACATATATGTGTATATATAAAAGAATGGGGGTGGTAGGAGAAAAAATATTAAAATGTTCAGTGAGAATCCACAAGGTCTTCTCTGAATACTCCTTATTTTCTTCTCCGAGGCTATGGGTCCCCAGATTTGCACCAGAGGTGGTATCCTCACAACTTTTATCATTTCCCCGGAGTACAGAGAGTTTAGAGTTCCCCCACAACCTAACTTTATACAGTTCCCCACAACCTAACTTTATAGAGTTCCCACAACCTAACTTTATACAGTTCCCCACAACCTAACTTTATAGTTTCCCACAACCTAACTTTATAGAATTTCCCCACAGCCTAACTTTATAGAGTTTCCCACAACCTAACTTTATAGAATTTCCCCACAGCCTAACTTTATAGAGTTCCCACAACCTAACTTTATAGAATTTCCCCACAACCTAACTTTATAGAATTTCCCCACAACCTAACTTTATAGAGTTTCCCCACAGTTTTGCGTTTCCTGAGCTCTTCCCATAGTCTGGAAGTTAGTTTTTATCAGGCAGCCGCAATAAATAGAGAGAGGAGGGGGGGAGAGGGAAGAGAGAGGGGGAGAGGGGAGAGTGGGGGAGGGGGGGTGGAAACTCGGGCTATTACGCAGTCATTCGATACAAACTACCAATATGTCTCTATTACCAGTGACAGGGTAAGTGGCAGAGATGGAACAGCAGTTGTGTAATGAGGTGAGGGGGGGTTGTTACGGTGGGTTGTGAGGGGGGGGAGGTGTGAGGTTGTGAGTGGGGGAGGTATGAGGTTGTGGGGGGGAGGTATGAGGTTGTGAGGGGGAGGTATGAGGTTGTGGGGGGGAGGTGTGAGGTTGTGGGGGGAGGTATGAGGTTGTGGGGGGGGAGGTGTGAGGTTGTGGGGGGGAGGTATGAGGTTGTGAGGGGGGAGGTATGAGGTTGTGTGGGGGGGGAGGTATGAGGTTGTGGGGGGGGGGTAGGTATGAGGTTGTGGGGGGGAGGTATGAGGTTGTGGGGGGGAGGTATGAGGTTGTGAGGGGGGGAGGTATGAGGTGTGTGGGGGGGAGGTAGGTTATGGGGGGGTAGGTATGAGGTTGTGGGGGGTAGGTATGAGGTTGTGGGGGGGAGGTATGAGGTTGTGGGGGGGAGGTATGAGGTTGTGGGGGGGGGGGTTTGAGGTTTGTGGGGGGGGGAGGTATGAGGTTGTGAGGGGGGAGGTATGAGGTTGTGGGGGGGAGGTATGAGGTTGTGAGGGGGGAGGTATGAGGTTGTGTGGGGGGGGAGGTATGAGGTTGTGGGGGGGTAGGTATGAGGTTGTGGGGGGTAGGTATGAGGTTGTGGGGTGGAGGTATGAGGTTGTGGGGGGGAGGTTTGAGGTTGTGGGGGGAGGTATGAGGTTGTGAGGGGGGAGGTATGAGGTTGTGTGGGGGGGGTAGGTATGAGGTTTTGGGGGGGGGGTAGGTATGAGGTTGTGGGGGGTAGGTATGAGGTTGTGGGGAGGTATGAGGTTGTGGGGGGGGAGGTATGAGGTTGTGGGGGGGAGGTATGAGGTTGTGGAGGGGAGGTATGAGGTTTGTGGGGGGGGGAGGTATGAGGTTGTGGGGGGTAGGTATGAGGTTGTGGGGGGGGAGGTATGAGGTTGTGGGGGTAGGTATGAGGTTGTGGGAGGTATGAGGTTGTGGGGGGTATGAGGTTTGGGGGGGAGGTATGAGGTTGTGGGGGGTAGGTATGAGGTTGTGGGGGGAGGTGTGAGGTTGTGGGGGGGGTAGGTATGAGGTTGTGGGGGGTAGGTATGAGGTTGTGGGGGGAGGTATGAGGTTGTGGGGGGTAGGTATGAGGTTGTGGGGGGTAGGTATGAGGTTGTGGGGGGGAGGTATGAGGTTGTGGGGGGAGGTATGAGGTTGTAGGGGGTAGGTATGAGGTTGTGGGGGGGAGGTATGAGGTTGTGGGGGGGAGGTATGAGGTTGTGGGGGGGAGGTATGAGGTTGTAAGGGGAGGTAGGAGGTTGTGGGGGGGTGAGGTTGTAAGGGGAGGTATGAGGTTGTAAGGGGAGGTATGAGGTAGTGGGGGGAGGTATGAAGTTGTGGGGGGGTATGAGGTTGTGGGGGGTAGGTATGAGGTTGTGAGGGGAGGTATGAGGTTGTGGGGGAGGAGGCGGCACGGGCATGAATAGCCCGTAATGGGCCAAATAGGTATATCTATTTACCCATTTTCGTTTCTTGTTAACATAAAACATATTTGTTTTGTGCAATAATATGATGCAAATCCCAATTGCTGAGCTGCCGGGCTCGAGGGGGCCAGATTCACGAAACAGTTACGCAAGCACTTACGAACCTGTACATCTTTTCTGAATCTTTGGCGGCTTTGTTTACAATTATTAAACAGTTAATGAGCTCCGAAGCACCAGGAGGCTGTTTATAACAACAACAACAGTTGATTGGCAAGTTTTCATGCTTGTAAACTCTTTCATAAACGTAACCAAAGCCGTCATAGATTGAGGAAAGATGTACACGTTCGTATGTACGTGGGTAACTGCTTCGTGAATCTGGCCCTAGGCTCGCATTCACACTCAACCTATCGGAATATTTGGGCAGTGGAATCTTCCTTATAATAGACAATAAGTAATGTATGACACTGAATAATAACATGAGACATCTCTTTTGCCATTAGCTTTTCTAGAAAAAAAAGAGTTAAAAAGGGCTGTAAATGTATTTTCAGCTTTATTTTTTATTATAACTTCAGTGTGTCCTAAAAAATGTTATTTCCTTGGAGAAGTGGACAGGATATATGCCTGTCTAACTGTCAGGTTGGTGTGACAGCCCGTCATACACACACCGAAACTACGACGTTGGTACAACGTTCGAACAAGTTTTAACACCTCCTAACCAGTTATAACAACCAATATAGCAAGTTGTAACAACGTTCTACTACGTCATAAACACGTTAAGCCAAGATGTAACAACTTTATTACAAGTTGTAACAAGCGGAAAATAGAGACAGTTTCGGTTTGTGTTTCCAGGGAGCTAGAATGGTACCCTCTAGGTTATTTTATTTATTATCAGAAATTGTCATATCGTAGCGGTCTGGTTTCTTCAGTCCCGCTTCAATGTTTTACTATGCTATTTGATTAGTGTTCTATTACGTCTTCCCCAGATTGAAATGTGTCTTAAGGAAACAGTGTTCAAAGTTAAGACAGTCAACATCAAGGATTTAATAAAATAACGATTTAATATATAAGTTTATATCCATTAAAGCAACACGGCGTAAAATAACAGGCAATGAACTGAAGAAAATGACTGAAAATATCAAAATATATAAAATATAAATATTAAAATAATAATAATATCAATATCAAAATATCAAAATATATCAAAAGTTAATATCAAAATAAAGGGAAAAAATACATTAAATAATACCAGCCACTCTAAATTATTTTTACTAGTGAAGGCAAACGTGTTTCAAGGATTAAGTATTGAAGAAAAGTGTTAAATACAATCATTCAGGAGAAAAAACTGATTATCTTGGGGTGGACGGTAGAGCGACGGTCCTCGGTTCATGCAGGTCGGTGTTCAATCCCCGACGACCGTCCATAAAGTGGTTGGGCACCATTCCTTCCCCCTCCCCCCCCCGTCCCATCCCAAATCCTTATCCTAGTGCTATATTAGTTGAAATTGTCTGGTGTTTTCTCCTGATAGTTCCCTTCCCTTCTATCTGCCCTTAACAGGAGCCGTTTGACTCAAGACTACGGAGCCACTCTATCCTCTTGTATTACCTTTTATACAAATTTTCAAGTAAATAGGTTGTAAAGCCTATTAATTATTTAATCGGTGCAGAAAGTTTTCTCTGTTGATTTCACAAGGTATTGCTTAGATTAGAATAAATATTTAATGAAATGCTTTTTTTCAAGTTAAATATACTCCTCTTGTTTTCCAGCCACAAACAAATAACATTTGTTATTATAAAAACTTATATAAAGTCACCAGCAGATGAGATACAATGGAATTAGTTACACATTCGGCGATCACTGGCAACCCCGCGAGTGGCAGTTGAAGCCTCATGCTTCAAAAAAAATTGTGTACAGATATTTTGTGGTAATGAGGCTATGGGGAACTTCACGTCACTCTATACACCAATGTCGTGTGGAATATACATTGTCCCAACTCAATGTTCATAGATCAAGTGAATATCCACTCTCTGAAACATTATATATCCTCCATGTAGGAAATATAGGAGTGGAGTGGAGCCGGTCGGCCGAGCGGACAGCACGCTGGACTTATGATCCTGTGGTCCTGGGTTCGATCCCAGGCGCCGGCGAGAAACATTGGGCAGAGTTTCTTTCAATCTATGCCCCTGTTACCTAGCAGTAAAATAGGTACCTGGGTGTTAGTCAGCTGTCACGGGCTGCTTCCTGGGGGTGGAGGCCTGGTCGAGGACCGGGCCGCGGGGACACTAAAGCCCCGAAATCATCTCAAGATAACCTCTCTCCTTCACATACGTTAAACCATACATTATCATGAATCTTTTTCTGTTTATTTACATTTTCTTGTGAACATGAGCACAAGAAATGTATTTTTTGCATCATACACCAAAACTCCGGTGATCCAGGATCAGATCCACACACACACACACACACACACACACACACACACACACACACACACACACACACACACACACACACACACACACACACACACACACACACACACACACATATATCTTACATATAACTAACAGATACCTACACAAAAATCACAATACTATTTTGGTGTCAGAAAGTTCGCCGGGAATATGATTACGGTTTGATTAGCTGTTGCCAACACTTACTAGAATATACACTATCTTGAGGTTATCTTGAGATGATTTCGGGGCTTTAGTGTCCCCGCGGCCCGGTCCTCGACCAGGCCTCCACCCCCAGGAAGCAGCCCGTGACAGCTGACTAACACCCAGGTACCTATTTTACTGCTAGGTAACAGGGGCATAGGGTGAAAGAAACTCTACCCATTGTTTCTCGCCGGCGCCAGGGATCGAACCCAGGTCCACAGGATCACAAGTCCAGTGTGCTGTCCGCTCGGCCGACCGGCTCCCCTCTACAACAGAAAATAAAGTTATCCGTGTAGTATAGACTAAATATTTTGTTTATAAGACAACAAGCGCTTGGAAAAGATTGTTGTGGGAGATGAAGGAGTGTGTTTGGCAATCATGGTAAATATTGGTTGGAAAATAACTTTGTTGATTTATGGATCAAATTATCGGGGTAACATGAAAGACGTGGGGGGGGGGGATAGCTGGGTTGTTTCAAGCGTAGGTTAGACATGCAGAGGATGAGTCACAGTAACGCTGCTGAAGATATGATGACATGTCAGGAGATGATACCTGATATGTCATCAGGTATCATATATGATACCTGGAGATGAGGTGACGACGACAACGACGTTTCGGTCCGTCCTAGATCATTCTCAAGTCGATTGTGATAATGTTGACAAATGATTTGATAATGGTTTAGGAGGGAGCGAAACGTCGTCGTCTTCAGGTGTGTGGTCTGGTCATCATAGATTAGATATATATGTAAACGTGTGTTTGTGTGGGTATCCCGCCAAACACACACCGAAACTACGACGTTGGTACAATGTTCGAGCAAGTTTTAACACCTAACCAGTTACAACAACCAATATAGCAAGTTGTAACAACGTTCTAATACGTCATAAACACGTTAAGCCAAGATGTAACTACTTTATTACAAGTTGAAATAAGCGGAAAATAGAGACAGTTTCGGTTTGTGTTTCCAGGGATATAGGAGCCGCCTCTCTAGTCCCAATACCCCTTCTGCAGTTGAATTAATTTACGCGTTTTTGTATTCAACAGGACCTTATACGTTCTTGTATTCAACAGGACCTTATACGTTCTTGTATTCAACAGGACCTTATACGTTCTTGTATTCAACAGGACCTTATACGTTCTTGTATTCAACAGGACCTTATACGTTCTTGTATTCAACAGGACCTTATACGTTCTTGTATTCAACAGGACCTTATACGTTCTTGTATTCAACAGGACCTTATACGTTCTTGTATTCAACAGGACCTTATACGTTCTTGTATTCAACAGGACCTTATACGTTCTTGTATTCAACAGGACCTTATACGTTCTTGTATTCAACAGGACCTTGAACAACAACAACCTGACGACGCTGCCCCGGGAGCTGTTTGAACGTATGAACGCTCTCAGGAGCGTCCGTCTGGCGGACAACCCGTTCATCTGTGACTGCCGCCTGTCGTGGCTGGGTCGCTGGCTGCGACGACACCCTACCCTCGCCCTCTTCACCAAGTGCCACGCTCCCCAGACGCTCAGGGGGAAGGAGGTCGCCGAGCTGCACGACTCCGACTTCAGGTGCCCAGGTCAGATCCCCCCCACGGCCTTGTAGGGACCATTGTCGCCCTTCAGTACCGTTATTTTCCTCGCCTCTCCGCCAGGCCTTGGCCCGCCTGTGTTCCCCACACTAGCTGCACCTTCCTTCTCGTTACTGTTGTGTCTTTTATGCTTCATATTCTGTTAATTTAAATCGTGATCAATGTAACATTTCTCCTGTTGGCTACATATGTAGGGAGAATATTAATATATGACTGTGCTTCCATGTAGCGTAGAGGGGACAAAGGTCTTTTGGTGTGGGTGGAAGTGAATTGAAATTGAAATAAGTTTATTGAGGTAAAATACACACAAAGGGATGAGGTAGCTCAAGCTATTCTCACCCCGTTCAGTACATCGTGTTAATACATACATAGACACACATCACAAGCAATAAACATATTACCAAACATTCTGAGAGATAAACATATACATTTCCTATGGAAGGGGATGGGGAGGGAGGGGGAAGCGTAGCCTCATGAAAATGTCAGCCTGAAAAACGTTAATTTAAGTTGGCAATATACTTCTACATGGTCTACTGACTTGGGAGTGTTTTAGGGGCTGTCAGTTTGGTTCATATCTTCCTGCCATTGTCCTCGGGCGCTGGGACTAGTTATGGTGATTCCTTACTGATTGCCCGTCAATATACCGCCCGAAATGGCTTTGCGTAATAGTGGCTTTAGGCATAGTATGTCCTAGCTCTATCTACAAATCCATCAAAATCTGTATCACCCCTTGTATGTATGTACTTTACCTAAATAAACATTTGAATTTGAATTTAAACTGATGGTCGTTTACGAACATCACGTCACTCCGACAGTGGCGCCGCTGCTCAGCTGGTTGAAGAGCCAATCCTCTCCAATACTACATCTCATTTTGACATCATAATCCCCCCAACGGAGAGTATATGATGAACTATAAATCATGGCAGCTCACAACCCATTCACGTTTTCCACATGTGGGTCGTCGGCTAGGTTAGGTTCGGGTGTTTTCGTGAATAGTTTGTTACAGTCGGTTGTGACAACTCGAGGGAACACTATACACGCTTCTATAAGAAAACATGAATTACCAGATAGGCAGTTTGGGTTGTGACATTCTATACTGATTCTTGACTTACGTGTTCCGGCCGATATTTGGGTCAGTCGAATATTTATTACTACCGGGAATGCTCTTTTACCAGTCCCCGTGGCGAAGTGGTAACACACACGCTTGGCGTTTCGCAAGCGCTTTGTCCTGGGTTCGTATCCTGGCCCGGGGAGGATTGACTGGGCGCTAACCCTTAACTGTAGCCTCTGTTCACCCAACAGTAAAATGGGTACCTGGTTGTTAAACGATTTGGCGGGTCGTATTCCGGGGAAAATAAGGATTAAGGACTTACCCGAAGCGCAACGGGTGCTAGTATATATATATATATATATATATATATATATATATATATATATATATATATATATATATATATATATGTCGTACCTAGTAGCCAGAACGCACTTCTCAGCCTACTATGCAAGGCCCGATTTGCCTAACAGGATTTTCACACAATCCCCCCCCCCTCCCCCCACCCCCATGCACGCTGGCTGTCAGCTAGGCCTTGTTCTATCACTAACGACTGTTGTTTGAACCACAACGCTGTAAATGCTTCACCCACGGACTACAAATACAAATAATCGCCAACAGAACCTAAACACCTGACCTAACCAAAGCCTAAAATATACACATTATGCTAATATAGAATAATATTAATTTATATTTGAGAATATTCATATTTTGAATGAATGTTAAAACTGCTAAATGAATCTTTGGGGTCGAGCGCTGGACGGAATGGACTTGGTCTTAGGACGTGTTGCGTCACGCCCAAGTGCAAGAAAAGGCATTATATGGGTTGGCTGAGAGTTGGCACTACACTCTCTCAGGTCGTTCCATTAAGATAGTTTAGAGGGTGTTGATAAGGAGTAGTGTGGTGCCGCCACAACGACTCCCGCTACTCTCTGTGGTGCTGGTATCCCTCCCCCCCTTTACCGCACCCGCGGCAGATAGTGACCCCCTTGTGGCAGGCCTGCCGCAGCCGCCAGGGGGGGGGGGGGAGATGTGCCGCAGCTGCCAGTGGGGGGGGGGAGATCTGCCACAGCTGTCAGGGGAGGGGGGGAGATCTGCCACAGCTGTCAGGGGAGGGGGGGAGATCTGCCACAGCTGTCAGGGGAGGGGGAGGAGATCTGCCACAGCTGTCAGGGGAGGGGGGGGAGATCTGCCACAGCTGTCAGGGGAGGGGGGAGATCTGCCACAGCTGTCAGGGGAGGGGGAGATCTGCCACAGCTGTCAGGGGAGGGGGGGGAGATCTGCACAGCTGTCAGGGGGGGGAGGGGCAAGACCTGCCGTGTTGACCAGACACCAAACAAAGGCACCTTGCAACATTGCAAGAGAGAGAGACACAGAGAGAGAGAGAGACAGACAGACACAGACAGAGACACGAGAGAGAGAGAGACAGAGAGACAGAGAGAGACAGACTAAATCAGAAAACAATCAAATAAGATTACCTTCTGGCTCTGACGAAGCCGTCTTCCTGATAAGACTGTAGGCACACTTAAGGAACCCAGCCGTAACGAGCGGAGAAGAAGGGACCTAACTATGTCATTGCGTCGTAAGGACAGAGACTCTGGCGAAGGTCAGACACCTTTCGCAGCATTAATAGCCGCGTAACCGCTAATTTGTTCCTAACTCAAATATTCGAAAACTGGGAAAACCGTTAACGGTCAAGTTGGTACGATTTTTGTTTTTTTAAATTTTTAAATGTTCGTTAAAGTCGGTTGGAGCCATGTGGAGGATTCGAACCTGCACTCTGGGGACTGCCAAGCATATGGCTAAACTGGATCATGCTTTTAACGAGTGCTGGAACCTATGTTATAATTTACAACATAATTAGAGGAAAGGAAATATCAGGGGAAAGCGCCAAGCCATGACGACTATATAGCACTGGGAAGGGGGGTGAGGATAAGGATTTGGGATGGGACGGGGGGAGGGGGAATGGTGCCCAAAGACCGTCGGGGATTGAACGCCGACCTGCATGAAGCGAGACCGTCGCTCTACCGTCTAGACCAAGTGGTCAGAGGGAGTCGAAGATAGTCTATTAGTTGTAAAAACACCCGCCAGGCGGAGATAGAGGTGGACCTCGAATTGTTGCTAATTCCTACCTGCAGTTCTGTGAGGGTTTTTGGTCTGTGATGACCTTATCTGATACTGCATAAGCTTCCATATTGAAGCGAGGCAGCAATATATATATATATATATATATATATATATATATATATATATATATATATATATATATACTATTAAATATGACCGAAAAAGTAAGATTAATAATTCTAACACGAATTTTCTCAATCTTTCGTACATTACGCTTCACTGTTGGAGGTAAATCAAAAATCACTTCTCCAAAATTCATTTTTATTTCTAGTCTGACGCGACACGGGCGCGTTTCGTAAAACTTATTACATTTCAAAGACTTCACAAATACACAACTGATTAGAACTTACGTATCTCTGATTTTATATCTACATTTGAGTGAGGTGGGAGGGGTGATGTGGCATTAACACAAGACAGACCAAGAGGGGATATTAATAGGGTATTAAAAGTATCAACACAAGACAGAACAGAAACAATGGGTATTGAATAGAAGTGTTTGTAGAAAGCCTATTGGTCCATATTTCTTGATGCTTCTATATTGGAGCGGAGTCTTGAGGTGGGTAGAATATAGTTGTGCAATAATTGGCTGTTGATTGCTGGTGTTGACTTCTTGATGTGTAGTGCCTCGCAAACGTCAAGCCGCCTGCTATCGCTGTATATATATGTATATATATATATATATATATATATATATATATATATATATATATATATATATATATATATATATTATATATATATATATATGTCGTACCTAGTAGCCAGAACGCACTTCTCAGCCTACTATGCAAGGCCCAATTTACCTAATAAGCCAAGTTTTCATGAATTAATTGTTTTTCGACTACCTAACCTAACCTAACCTAACTTTTTCGGCTACCTAACCTAACCTAACCTATAAAGATAGGTTAGGTAGGGTTGGTTAGGTTCGGTCATATATCTTACGTTAATTTTAACTCCAATAAAAAAAATTAACCTCATACATAATGAAATGGGTAGCTTTATCATTTCATAAGAAAAAAATTAGAGAAAATATATTAGTTCAGGAAAACTTGGCTTATTAGGCAAATCGGGCCTTGCATAGTAGGCCGAGAAGTGCATTCTGGCTACTAGGTACGACATATATATATATATATATATATATATATATATATATATATATATATATATATATATATATATGTATGTGTGGTGTGTGTGTGTGTGTAATTGCAGGGACCCATAGCCTAGGAGAAGGAAATACAGAGCATTCGGATAAAAACCTGTCGTTTGATTCTAAATGTGGCATGAGAATTTGCATCTCCTCCCACCCCCTTTTTTAATTACCACTATTATTAGTACGCACTTTATTATACAAGGTTACACAGTTACTTAACTGATTGGTTACAAAAAGTGAGCATTAAGAGGAAATAAATTGAAGTTTTGTTTCCTAGAGGCTGTAGATGTCTTCAAACTCCTCCGACGCCGCAGCGGGCATTCCCCCTCTGGATCGTCACACTGAGGCGCTGGAAAAGGAAAGTGGCCGTCCTAGGGTCATATTAAGTGTCCACCATAGTAACGACAGCTACGAACAAAGTGTGTTATTGTACATTTGAATATGGCGCCTCTCGGTAATCTCACAGCCAATGGGATTATGTCTTTTCAGTTATGTCGCAGCTAATTTGCATATTGGCTCTTAGTAATTTCACAGCTAATTTGATTATGTCTTCTCAATAAGAGTACAGCTAATTTTCTTGCAATATCCCAGACAATTTGGCAGAAAAATCAAAGACAGTTTGGCTTTATCTTCCCATTTCAATACCATAGAAAACGT